ACTCTTTCTTTCCTCCATTATTGTCTCTCTTAAACTTTATCAAACTTCTTTGTACTATTTTCTACATGCATAGTGCAAACAATAAATACTATAACGGATGTACCCTTGATTATCAGGGGAACCACTATAAATTTTGATGTCTCCTCTTTATATTTTGCACTTTATTTTATCGGTCATACGCAAGATTATCGTAAGTAAATGGATCAAACATCTACCACTCTGTGAATTGGTCATTAACCCTAATACAAATTTAATGGTTGGAAATTAACTTCCACAGTGTGAGGCCTCAATATATGTGGCTATGTGCCAATTTTTCAGAGTAGTTCCATTTATCCATGTAATCTACGTTATAATAAGAATTGCTAGAAAATGAAGACTTCAATTAGAGTTTCAAATCGATTATGTCCATTCATTTTAATCAAATCTATTATTTCCAAAAACTGAAGCAAAAAAAACAAAAAACAAAAAAAAAAGTTGTAGGCGAGATCCAGATGACCAACCGATTGTAACTAGACGTACACTTAAAAGGGGGCACTGTCACTGGATGAAATCTATCTTGCAAGAGAACAAACACGGTGTAGAAGTAAGAGAAATAGTAAAAAATATGCCAATATGAAAAATTTAAGAAAGTATATAGGCTAATTTTTAGTTATAGAAATTAATAGGTTATAATTTGTCAAGTTATGATTCATAACCAGATAAGAACTTGTCAAGTTATGGTTCATAACCAGATAAATTATGAACGAAAACAGTAATTTGACCTATTTATTAACTTATGTAAACTATTGACCTATTAATTTTAATTCATCTCAAGTTTTGACCTATTTTCCTCTCTCCCTAGAAATAACTCATTAAACTCAACTTAATTAATGGCACTGAAAGCATGATATGGACTTTAAAAGGGCACTGTCACTGGATGAAATCTATCTTGCAAGAGAACAAATACGGTGTAGAAATAACTCATTAAACTCAACCTAATTAATGGCACGGAAAGCATGATATGGACTTTCAACACCTCGTTTATTTTATCGTTTTGAGTTTTCAATTATAATTTTGCTAGAGTTAAAATCTCTTATAAAAAGTCACATCTAATTTTTTCTACTACAATTAAAAACTCTCATATAAAGTCGTATCTCATATATTCCTTTGAGATATAAAGGATTGCGAGCTCTTGTCTATAATATATATCTTACTACGTATCATACAAAAGTGTAACTGACGGAGCAAGCTTTTGAAACTCAAAAATAGAGTTGATAACAACAAGAACTTGGACTTAGTCGAGCCAAATCTCGGATAGAATCCATTCCCAAGCTTAAGAGCTTGAGAGGAAACAGGCAAGCAGTCGAACAATAACACAAGTCTGCCGTAACAAAATTACGAAACAAAGGTTATCACTTCTTACAGAGGAAAATGAAAGCAAATAACAACCAGACAATAAAAATGAAGAGACGACAACCAACTTGGGAATACTTAGTAATATCACCAACGACGAGTCGTTGAGCTCTACATCAGTTGTCCCACTCTACATCCGTAACCGAAAAAGAGTCAAATAACAAAAGCTAAATGTAAAGAGTTACAATGTTGTTAAGCTAAATGGGAGGTTCAAAGGTGAAATTGAGCAAATCACGCTTAGCGTGCAGGAATTATAAGAAGGTAAAAGCCAAGATCCTGAACTTGTCTTTTAGAGTCTAGAATTTGGCTGAAATGCAGATCATGTGCATTTTAACTCCGCCTATACAGTGATTCGTATAGCCGGTCTTAAGCCCGGGTAAAGGATGAAAGTTGCGGTAGGTTGACAACCAGCATAAAAATATGTCACTCTACATGGATTTCTCATTTACAGACTCTGTTGGGGTGTTCCCTACGTGCAACGTGCTATGCCGGGCCCAGGGTATAGTGTTAAATAGGCAAGGGGGGTCCTTGCACATTCATGGACATGTGCGGGGAGAGAATCTAGCCCATGCACCATGCCGGGCCCCGGATATGGTGAAAAATATGCAAGGGGGGTCCTTGCACATTCATGGACGTGTGCAGGGGGCAAAGCTAGCCCATGATAGAAAAATTCGTCTAGGCAGTTGGAATGTAGGTTCTTTAACCAGTAAATCTATGGATTTAGTAGATGTTATGTTGAGAAGAAGAATTAACATCTTATGTTTACAAGAAACCAAGTGGACCGGAGAGAAGGCAAAAGAGATTGGAAACCTAGGACATAAGTTATGGTACACAGGTTGGGAAAGGAATCGCAATAGGGTTGGCATTCTAATGGACAAAACTTTGAAGGATGAAGTGGTTGAGATTAAACGATTAGGTGATATAATTATTATGATCAAATTAGTGGTAGGGGAGAAGTTCATTTATGTAATTAGTGCTTATGCTCCACAAGTAGGATTGGATGAGGAAACTAAAACCAAATTCTGGGAAGACATGGATGACTAAGTGCGTAGTATAGGTAATGAGGGTAGTATTTTTATTGGAGGAGATTTGAATGGACATGTTGGTAAGATAGAGAAAACTTCGAGAGAATTCACGGTGGTTTTGGTTTTGGGGCTCAAAACGAAGAAGGAAAATCTATTTTGGAATTTGCATTAAGACACGACTTTGTTATAACCAACTCATTCTTTAAGAAAAGATATTCACATTTAATCACTTTTAAGAATGGGAGGAACTCGAGCCAGATAGATTATTTTCTCACAAGGTACAAAAATCGTTCTCTCTATAAGGATTGTAAAGTAATTCCTAGAGAAGTGTTAGCCACCCAACATAGGTTAGTAACCCTAGATGTGAGCATTAGGCTTTACCATAGAAGGGCTAAGATAAATCACCTCCCACGAACTTGTTGGTGGCATTTAAATGGAATAAAGAAATTAACTTTTAAGGATAAGTTGTTAAAGGAGGCTGCTTGATCATGCGAAGGTGATGCAAATACTATGTGGGACACCGTTGCGAGTTGCATTCGAAAAGTGGCAAAGGAGGTACTAGGAGTATCTAGAGGTTCCTCCGAGAAAGGAACCCTGGTGGTGGAGTGAGAAAGTTCAAAATGCTACTAGGACCAAGAGAGATTTATATAGAGAGCTACCAAAGTGTAAGGATGATGAGATTTTTATTAAGTACAAATAAGCAAAGAGGGAAGCTAAGAGAGTAGTTAATAAGGCTTGTGCTACTTATTTGGGTGAGGTGTATAGAAAACTTGGGACTAGAGAAGGAGAGAATGATATCTATAAACTAGCTCGGATAAGAGAAAGAAAGTGTCGGGACCTAAATCAAGTGAGATGTTTTAAGAATGATACGGATCAGGTTCTGACAAAGGATGAAAATATTAGGGAGAGGTGGAAGAGTTACTTTGGGAAACTTTATAATGAAAATCATGCAATGGGGTTTGGCAATCTTAGGTACCAAGGCGAACCAAATGTGACGTATACACGAGGCATCAGAGTTTCAAAAATTAAAACTGCATTACGAGATATGAAAATGGGAAAGGCATGTGGGCCAGATGATATCCCAATATAGGTTTGGAAGGTGTTACGAGAGGTTGGAATTAAGTGGCTCACTAAGCTTTTTAATGAGATACTAAAGAAGAAACATATGCCCGATGCTTGGAGAAAAAGTATTCTCGTTCCCATCTTCAAGAATAAAGGATGTGCGCTAAATTGTAACAACTATAGGGGCATAAAGCTGATAAGTCACACTATGAAGCTTTGGGAGAGAGTTATTGTAAAGAGATTGATGGTCACAACTACCATCTCAGGTAACCAATTTGGGTTTACGCCGGGTAGATCAATCATGGAGGTTATTTTTCTTCTTATGGTGATGATTGAAAGGAATAGAATAGCTAAGAAAGATTTGCATATGGTCTTCATAAATTTAGAAAAGGCATGTGATAGGATATCGAGAGAAGTGTTATAGTGGGTACTAGAGAAGAGATGAGTGCATATGAAGTATATCAAGGTAATAAAGGATATCTACGGTGGAGCTGTCGCAAGTGTGAGAACTACTAGAGGCTACACGAAAGAGTTTCCCATTCGAATTGGCATTCATCAAGGTTCCGCTCTTGGTCCTTATCTTTTTACTATCGTGATGGACAAGCCGACAAGAGAAATTCAAGATGGGATTTCCTAGTGTATACCTTTTGCATACAATATAGTTTTAGTTGATGAACATCGGGAAGGAATTAATTGTAAGTTAGAACTGTGCAGATAGACCCTTGAGACGAAGGGATTTAAGTTAAGTAGAACGAAGACTGAGTACATGCATTGTAGGTTTAGTAATTTGAGAGATCATAGTGATGAAATTTCTTTCGATAGTGTGGTGATTGGGGCTTCTAAAAAATTTGGGTATCTTAGGTCCATAGTGCAATGTGAAGGGGATATAGATGAGGATATTAGACATAGGATTAAAACGGTATGGGTTAAGTGAAAGAATACCACGGGAGTTTTATATGATGATAAGATGCCTATTAAGTTGAAAGAAAAATTATATAGGACAACAATTCGTCCAGCTATGTTATATAATAGTGAATGTTAGACCATCAAGAGACAACAAATATACAAAATGAGTGTGACGAAGATGCGTAAATTAAGATAGATGAGTGATCATACAAGGATGGATCACATACGGAATGATGTTATTCGTAGTAAAGTAGGTGTAACACCAATAGAAGATAAAGTACGAAAAAACCGTCTAAAGTGGTACAGACATGTACAACATAGATCGTTAGATGCACCTATTCGTGCTTAGAAGAACATCCAAATATCTAATATTATGAGAGTAAAGGGTAGACCAAGAATTACTTAAGCCGACGTAGTTAAATACGACTTTCAAGATCTAAAACTTTAAGAGTCTCGTGTTTAATAGAACAGACTGAAAATAAAAAATTCATATAACCGACCTTAATTAATTTAGAATTAAGGCTTATATTTGTATTTGTTGTTGTCGTGGTTGCAGCAGATCATGTGCATTTTGGAAGAGTGGGATTAAAGAAAACAAAACCTTTGTTTTATTGCAGACCGTGAAAGGTAAGGTGAATTCTCATCGGCATCACGAGAACTATTAAAATAGTTTTATAAAAAGTACACTCAGCAATATAATTAGAACCGCAATAATCAATAGAAAACCAAGAAACAAAAGAGAAGAAAAAAAGATACGCCCACAAAGACCTATCTATCGCTGTAAGAATATTAGCTACAAAATGGGGGTGATTACATCTGTAAAACTTTAACCATCTCTCTTCAGTTTTGCTTTTTATCACTTCTAGTGCGGTTTTGGAACATACCCATCAACAGCAAAGTTTCGCGTATGCGCAGGAATAGCTAATCGTACTCCATCTAGTTCTGGTGTTGCAATAACTTGACAACCCAGACGAGACCTGTCAAATATCAAATATAAGGTTCAATCTTGCTTAAATGAGAACGAAAAAGATAAAAAGAAACAGACTTTCGCAAGCAAGTTTGTGAACCTACGTTTCTGTGAGCCCAAAAGCAAGGTCCAACATGTCATTCTCCTCATCGGTTGGGTCTTCCAGTTTATTGTAGTACTCTACATCCTACAATAGCATTCTAACATTAGCTCCTTAAAATTCAGCTCTACAAATGTAAAGCGGAAAAGGCTTCAAAAGCACAATTCTTTTTCGTGTAGGGCGTATATTGCAAGAATAACATACCATCACAATCACATGACACGTTGAACAGGCAAGTGAGCCTTCGCATGCTCCTGATATAACAATTGAAGCGAAGGATAAGATTTTTGTAAACTAGAATGAAAGTAATTGAGGACTCATCAGCGTGACTAATTCTTAAAAGTATAATCCTTTACAAGGAAATAAGTCAGGTCTATAAGCACAAGAAAGAAGGAACAATGGTGAGAAAGGAGACCAACGTTACTATAGAAAGCAAGGGACATCCAAGAGCACTGTATGGTAAGATGGAGCATAAGAAAAATAAGATTTGGATTCAGTACAATACGTGCAATTAACGAAAATAAAATAGTTGATGAATGCATCAAGGCAACGCAAAAACAAAAAGGAAAATGCAGTACACTAGACTAAAGAGGCATTAAAAAGGTGATATCAGAAAATCCTTGCCTTCAAGTTCAATATCATTTTCATGGGCTGCTTCTAACATCGAATTTCCAATTGGAACCTTAATGTGCTTCTCCTCCCCGTCCTTATCAACAAATGTCACAGATATCCTGGAGAATAGAGAATAAAACTGTGAGAAAAGACAGCAGACAATCAACATTTGAGAAATTTATGACGATAATAAGCTTAGCTAAGAATATATATGCCCCCTGTTCTTAAAGTAAATTGCTAGTATAAACAGCTCTCTCACAGTGAAATACTCAAAAAAAAAAAAAAAAAAAAAAAAAAAAAAAACCTCCAAGGGGAAAAAAAAAAAAAAAAAGAAGACTCTCACAGTGAAAACATAAACGTCCTTGTGACGGACAAAACAGAAAACAGCAACGCAACACACTGTCCTTCAACTAGTAATGCTTCTTCTAAACTTCCGTGCCTCAACATCTTCGGCAATAGTTGACCAAATCAGCAGAATGCCAAAAAACGAAACCAAGCAACTTACGTTTGTTTCTCTTCACTCCCTTCCTCTGAAGAATCTTTGGTCGCTGCTGAAGAAAAGTGATGATACTTCTGAAAGATTGCTCCCTTTGACACCTTAGTTTCTGACTGCTTCAATTGTTGCATAGAACCAGGAAGTGCAAACAGAATGAACATGGGAAGTAGGAATAATTAGTAATTGTTAGATCTCACTAATATTAGAGTGGACTTAACAACGAATTATTCATCAACAATCGAGGTAAGTTTTATATAATTAAAGCAGCATGTCTATCACACCCAAATATTGATTTCCAAGTTATTCCCAAAGTGTTCTAGGTCGCTCCAAACAATTTGGAAAGCTAATATTTTTGTTAATGTTTTCAAATCACAAAATGCTTTAGAGACACGAACAAAGAACATCAAACCTTTTTGATAAGAACCAAGAAAAGATTATTATTGAAAACAAGAATTAGACACAATTACAAGATAGATTGACAGACGTTCGAGAGGTCTGCTAGCTCTCCCAAGAGTTTTCCCCAGTTTACTCTAATCAATCCCCCCCTTTAGTCTCTTTTCTTTTCCTTATATACTACTACTAACTAGCTTAACAAACATAGCAAACCAACCCTAATAACAAACCACTAACCACTAATTATATTCATTACTAATTACTAACATAATCCTATCATTACTCCCCTCCCCAAGACACCTTGTCCTCAAGGTGTGGTCAAGTGACCACAGTGGAATGATGCCATCTCCTTCCCATGTTGTCAAGCCCACCTTTCAAAATGTTAAACGGCATCGCAATTCTTGAAAAGCCAACTTCAACAGTGACAAACCAAGGTGCCCTTTTCTTTTCCTTATATACTACTACTAACTAGCTTAACAAACATAGCAAACCAACCCTAATAACAAACCACTAACCACTAATTAAATTCATTACTAATTACAAACATAATCCTATCACTTTTTAAACTATTCTCAAACTGCTTTCCAAAATAAGTAATTGACATCATTTCCTAAGTGTTCCTCATCAATTTCTACGAAATTCCAATATTATGCTAGCCATAGGAAATTTCAATTTGAACACAGCAACGGAAACTAGACTAACAGCAACAAGGAACAAGGAATGAATAATCCAGAATTTAAAATATGTGTTTATCTATTAGGATTAATTTAGGATTTATTTAAGCGTATTTTGTTATTTGTTATATTTATCTTAATATTAGTTTTTATGCATCTATAAATAGACCTAGTATTTGTATTCTGACTTTGGACCTTGATGATTATTATTCAATATACAGATTTCCTCTTCATTATTCTATCTTCTTCCTAAATTCATTATCTTCTTCTCTCTCTTTCTTTAATCTATCATCATCCTATATAGAAGAGTAAGACATAGAACCAATGCCACCACAATCAATACGAGTGCCATCAATAATCAGAACACAAATGCTCAAATAGTAATACAAGCACTTCATAATCACTCGCACAGAAAACTATGAACTATAAAAGTGAAATAATAGCCAAAAGACTATAATATATATATATATATATGTATGTATGTATGTATATATATACATACAAAGACGTAAAAATAAGATTACAAATATTCTTGGCAAATCCGAAAAAGCAAAAACAAGATAACTAACCAGCGTTTGCAAGTATTGGCTAAAAGGCGTCTGTGTATATCCTGCTCCAGTTATGGCTCTGGATTTCCCTAACATAAGAAGAACATGAAGTTTCCAAGTGAAAAAACAACACTTCCAAAATCTATCTATTTCATCAAAATGTGTGTGTGTGTGTGCGCACGCGTTAAAAGGAGAAGTGGGTTTGAGGGAATTACCTCTAGAGAGCTCTTTAAACAACAAAAGCCCAACTCTTGAAAGTTTAGACATTAACATAATCGTAGCCCTTACTGAATCCCTAATTGGACCTGAAACAAGTCTAACATCAAAATTTGAAGCCTTTTTATCTTCTTCCCAAAGAGAAATAATGAAAAACCAGAAAAGAGAATGTTCAAAAATCTATACTTTTCCACTGTTCCTATAACTAAACGCAATCCCTCGTCGTCGTTTGATGCTTTGCTTTACAGTTTGGAGTTCGGAGTCGGACTAATGCTTTAGACCCTTTTTCTGAAAACGACTGAATTGTATGGACGACATCAAAAAGTGAAAAGAGACAATTAACTAGAAACGATAAACAACTAGTAATCCACAGACCCACGACTAACAGGGAACTTAATCACAATACCCTGATAATTATCTTTAGAAATGGAAAAATATCAAATTAGTATTTTATAATTAGGAAAATTTCATTTTAGTAGCATGTGTTATATCAAAATATGTGTTTGGTAACCTACATTTTTTATAATTTCATACAGTTACCTAGACATTTTAAAATCATTTTTGTACCCTCAAGACTTTTTAGATGTAAAATGTCAAAATTACCCTTCTCATTAATTAATTAAAAATGATAATTTTTAAGACATTTAAAAAAATGCTTTAAATATATTAAAAATACAAAAATCTAAAAATATGAAGAAATCCAATCTAATTTTTTCATTTACGCTGTTGAAAAATAATTTACATGATAAAGTACTCCAAATGTCACGCGTTGTGCACCACCCATCTCCTCAAGGGTAAACTAGAAAATCAAATATATATTTTACAATAAAAAACTCAAAACTCCATGGCGTAGCAGTGCCCAAATGATTCGGCAGAAGAGATTAGTCGTGAGCTTATGGCAGACTACTTCTCTATCGTTCCTAGTTATTTGTCTCTTTTCACAATTAATATCATTCATAAATTTCACTGTCACTTACAGGAAAAGGATCTAAGACAAAAGGCCGAACTCCAAACTCTATGGGTCTGTTTGATATGAGGGTTCAAGTGGTTTGAACTTAAGGTTCTGGTTCAAGTGGTTTGAACAAACCAGTATTTTTTTTGCGAAAAGTAAAGTGTGGTTTGAATCCTTAATGTGACATTTACACCATCAGAAACAAAGGGTTTCAGAATCAACGCCCTTGGGTTCTTGTAGTTTGAACCTAGGTTCAAACCTTACAGTTCAAAACACCCAAAGACTCAAGCCACCCTAATTTGAACCCTCATACCAAACGAACCCTAAAGCAAAACCTAAAACGGCAATGAGTGATTACTTTTAAGTAATTATATAATATAATCTCGACTAGAAGCTTCGCGCCTCATATTTTTCTATTGAATTGTTCATCGCTAGTAAAATCTTCATTAGATTCTAAGCTCCCCTTGCTGCTCATTCAGTCGTACAACAAGAACAAAGTTCGCCCCTTTCTCATGATCTCTTCCTTATTTCATTTTCCTGTTCGTTTCTTTAATTTTCCTATGTCGATTACTTCGGTAGAGAACCTTGGGATATTAAGAAACAGTCGAAAAGTATTGATTTTTGAACATTCCTTTTTTCTTTTTTTTTTATCTCTGTCTATTTGGAAAGCAAAAATAATAATTACAAAAAAAAAAAAAAAAAGCTTCAATTTTTTATATTTGAATTATTCCACATCAAATTAGGTATTTAGTGAGGAGCCAAGATTATGTTCATCTCTAAACTTTCAAGATTTGGACTTTTGTTGTTTAAAGAGCTCTACAAAAGCCATTTTCCTCAACCTCATTTCTCCTATATAATATATATATTTTTATGGAGCAAATGGATTTTGGAAGTGTTGTCTTTCACTTAGAATCATGTTCTTTATGTTAGGAAAATCCAGAGCCAAACTGGAACATGATTTACACAGAGACCTTTTAGCTGATACTAAAGGTGTTCGAGGAATCTGTCAATCCAATCCAATCTAATGTTTTGGATTGAAATGAAAAAAGTTTAGGTTTTAGACTAGATTGCGGATTGAGCACTAAAATCCGTGAATCCGAAACCTATTATATATATATATAT